GTTTTAGAATATAATAATTATAATATTCCTATAGGGTCATTGCATATTTTTAAAATTTGGATATAGAGTATACTTTTTTTCTTAATTTCACTTTTAAGAAATCTCTATACCCAACCCCAAGATCCAGAATCGCATGCTCTACTGATTAAGCCAGCCAGATGCCCTATAGTATGTTTTATTATTCTCAGTTTATGGATTGTTTACTGGGAACTCTATTTTCCGAATCCTCCTAGTGAACTCTAATTAATGAGTAGCCAAATAATATTCACTTTCTGCTATTGAAGGAAAACTTTACAGTATGGAGTAGCTTTGAGAACTTCAGCTGAATGGAAAGGTATAAAATCTTTTTCCTTTTTAAAACATAAGTCTCATTCTGTATGTTGGTCTAAAGCATTTAACATCTCTTAAGTAGGTCTAAAGCTGCTATAGTTTCAAGCAATATGGCAGATTCAATGTTCAGAGAAACCTCTGGCAAAGAACACAAAAGTGCTATATACGATGTTAAAACAACTTTTGAAAGGCATGGATGAGCTAAAAGCAAAGTAAGGGGAAAATATAAGGCTGTATGCAATGAAAAAGCCCAGTTCCATGGGGATAAAGGAGCTCTAGATCTCAATTTACCCTTGAGGTCACCTTCTGATCCCTCATGGCCAAACACCTGGGCATTAAGGAGGGGCTTCTGCTTGCATGGAGCAGGAAACCAATTCTGATGGGCATGCTCAGTGGTAAGTTTGGATGCTACAGTGTAAAGCTGGGATCCCCAAAGGATATGACTTTCTGTTAATGACAGGAAAATAACCTGCTTTTCAGAATGACACCACTGGGGGACCTGGGTAGCTCAGCAGATTAAGACCCTTGATCTCAGCTCAGGTCTTGATCTCAGGGTTGTGAGTTCAAGCTCTGCATTGGTCTCCACACTAGGCGTGAAGCTTAATTAAAACAAAAACAGAATGACACTGTTTGTTTCATCTTTGGCTTTGAATGGAGTGGACAAAAAGAATCTCTCTTCATCACAGTTCTACTCTGATGTGGGTTTGGAGTTGAAATTCACACCGGCAAAAAGAAAAGCTCAGTATAAAAGCTCAGTTTAATGGTTCCTTCGGTTTGGGGTGCCCTAAGGACCTAGCAGAAACAAACAGAAATCTTCTCTAAAGAATAGTACTTTAAATACTGGCTTGAAGTATTTCCATAGTTAAAGTTCCAACCATACACATTTATTAGAGAGTATTCTTGGGATCATCACATGTGGAAGGGAGAGGAAGGAAGCAATATTAGGCAGAGAAATCAAGCTTCAGTGAAGACCCAACAAAGGTTTCACTGATACTACAGGAAGCTCTGGAGATGGGGTGATCCTTCAGAGTTCACTTGAGTTGGGGCAAGAGGGTTAGGCCTTTTTACCCTCACTGGATATGGGCTGCTCCTAGAAGGAGCCTTGACCTTAGATGAGACAGTATTCTTTAGACAACAACCCCAAAAAGGGCCAACAGCCGAGAGCTACTTTCTGGCAGCGTTCCAACACCTGTGGGAAAAGTTCACATTCCTGAAAGGGAATCCAGGCAGTGCATCATAATGCACAAGGAATCACAAGGAACAAAGAAAGCTTGTAGGTGAACATAGGAAACACTGACTTTATAAATTAAAGCAATATTGTCTAATTTGTGTGGTTAAAGTCAAAATAGAACTAAAAATTTCAGAATCATAGTATTAGAAGTCTGGAGGGAAGTGATTAGAATTAATGCCTTCTAAGATCTGATATATAGTAGAATATTACACAGCAGGGAGAATGAATACCATTACAGCTTCATGTTCCAACATAAACAGCAAGATTCTTTGAATGGAAAAAGTGTGATTCCATTTATATAAAGCTTAAAAACCATCAACACCAAGCAATATGTTGTTAAGGATACATACAAATACGATAAAACTTAATAGGTATTAGAATAAGTAACACGGAATTCACAGCAAGAATTGGCATAGACACACAGAGGGCTTCCATAGCACTGTAACACTTTCTTAATCTAGGCGTGGATACACAGAATTTTGTTTTATTATAATTCCTTTAACTATACATGTATGTATTATGTCTGTGGTAAAATTTTTTTAACTCTATTAAGGTGTTTAGAAGGAAGGAATATGCTGGTTTTGGTGACCAGAGCATGCTAAAGTTATCTCCTAGGGGCGACTGGGTGACTCAGTTGGTTAAGCATCCAACTTCAACTCAGGTCATGATCTCACGGTTCCTGAGTTCGAGCCCTGCGATGGGTTCTGTGCTGACAGCTCGGAGACTGGAGCCTGCTTCAGATTCTGTGTTCTCCCTCTCTCTCTGCCCCTCATTCTGTCTCTATCTCTCATAAATAAATAAACTTTAAAAATTTTTTTAAAAATAAAGTTATCTCCTAGATTAGTATTCAGCAGTGCTAATCTGGATCCAGTCAAGTCTATTTAGAATCAGAAATGAAATATCAGTTATATGATTGAGTCATCTCCATTTTATTTATCAACGTTGCCCTCAAATGGGATGGGATTACTCTTTTACAGGTATTTCAGATACAGTAAATGATGGAATTTGAAGTTTGAAAATGATCCCAAATTCTGCAGTAAGTTTTTGTTAGATGAATCCAGTATGTAATATAATAGTTATCATATTCCCAACAAAGGCAACTGATTTTGCCATTCTCATCCACCTTAGTATTTCAGGATGGCCAGTTTAACTTTCTTTCTCTTATGCTTATTCTTCTTGGGAGTGGTATAAGACAACTTCTGCCTTTTCTTAGCACCACTGCAAAGTCTCAACACAAGATGAAGAGTGAACTCCTTTTTAATGTTGTAATCAGACAGCGTACATCCATCTTCTAGTTGCTTGCCACCAAAGATCAGTCTCTGGTGATCAGGAGGAATACCTCATCCTGAGTCTTGGCCTTCACATTTTCTGTTGTTTCTGAAGGTTCAGCCTCAAGAGTGATGGTCTTCCCCATAAGAGTTTTCATGAAAATCAGCATCTTGACAGTGGTTCCACCACAGATGGCAGATCAGAAAGTCCTCTCTTTACTTTTGATATCACTGTCTTCTGGTTCTTTTCCCTCATAGGTTTCTCTTTCTCTTGTTTTCCTTCCTTATTTGAAATATAAGGGTATTTATACTCTTCCTTTAGACAACTTCTATGGTTTTATATACTGTCCATATGCTGACACTGTCATTGTTTATATTTCTTTTTTTTTTTTAAATGTTTTATTTATTTCTAGGAGAGAGAGAGAGAGAGACAGAGTGAACAGGGGAGGGTCAGAGAGAGAGGGAGTCACAGACTGAAACAGGCCCCAGGCTCTGAGCTGGCAGTCAGCACAGAGCCCGACGCGGGGCTTGAACCCACGAACCGTGAGATCATGACCTAAGCGAAAGTCGGACGCTTAACCGACTAAGCCACCCAGGCGCCCCTATATTTCTGTACTAGAACTCTCCTCCAAACTTTAGACTCTTCTATCAAACTATCTATTTCATATCTTAACTTGGATGCCTCATACTTAGAATAGTGCTTGACACATATCAGTACTATATGAGTATTAGCTATTATCTTTGTTTTTAATAAATAGCACTATCATCTACCCAGTTATTTAAGTTAGAAACCTTGATTTTTCCTTTTTCCTCTTAATCCAGTTCATCACTTGTCTTCAAGATACATCCTCTATATACTCTCTTCATCTCCATTTTCACCACCCTAACCCAAATGCAGCATCATCTTATACCTGGCTAACTGCAAATGTCCCCAAACTATACGCTGTTTAACATAGCGATTAAGAACCAGGCTTTGGAATTGAACCAGCTAGGTTTACTTCCTGGCTCTGCCACTTACAAGTTATATGAACTTGGGTGTCCTCTCTGTCTCTGTTTCTTCATTTACAAAATGAAGATCCAGTTGTTTTTAAATTTTGAGAATCAGTTTTTCCCTCAGCAATTATGAACAGGCCAGCTGTTTTCCACTGATATGAAGTTCTATTTTTGTCATATATCAAGTTATTATACAGGGTTTGGCCTGTTTCTGGGCTACTGTGTTCTGTTAGTATATTAATCGCTCCTGATTTTATCGCTGACTTAATTATTTTAGTTTCATGGTTAAGTCTTGATAACTGACAGGACAAGTTCTTCATCTTATTGTTCTTCCAAAATCTTTTGACTATTCTAGGCCTTTTGCCTATTTTCTTGCCTATAAAAGAACTTTGAAATGTAAAAAATGGTATTTCTTTATTTTCTTTTAAAATAAATGTGCTTTTTTTTTTTTTACCTTTACCACATGAGACACACACTGTTGTCTACTAGATTTAATTCTGTTCCATTCCAGTGCTTCACCTGAAATAGGTTTTCTTTTAAAATAGGGGCGCCTCGGTGGCTTAGTCGGTTAAGCGTCCGACTTTCGCTTAGGTCATGATCTCGCGTTTCGCGGGTTCGAGCCCCGCGTCGGGCTCTGTGCTGACTGCCAGCTCAGAGCCTGGAGCCTGTTTCGGAGTCTGTGTCTTCCTCTCTCTCTGACCCTCCCCTGTTCACGCTGTCTCTCTCTCTCCTAGAAATAAATAAAAAAATATAAAAAATAAATAAATTATAAAATAAATATGGCTACCATTTATCAAATATTATTTTGCTCACAGAAAGTACATACTTTCTCTAAGAACCCTAGAGTCACACTGTAGAGAAGTGCTCAGATGATGAAGGGTATATGAACTTACGATCAGCTGAGAAACCAGCAAATTCACACCACTCACTCCAGAGCATATGCTCACTGAAAAATCAGGTAGAATTGTCTATACTATTTATATAGTAAGTAGTCATTTTTCTTTCTTGTATTGCTGAGCTTCTTACAGTTGAATTTGTGATAATTAACTTCATAAAGAAACTCCACAGTATAAGATTATGTGTTTATGTTAAGTTTTACCTGAATTTTTGTCTCATCTTTTTGTCATTCAGATAAGAAAGAATGATCCTATACTGTATTATTCCTTTATTCTCTACAGATAATGGATTCTGAATTAATGCATAGTATTGTAGGAAGCTACCTTAAACCTCCAGAAAGAGTGTTTGTTCCATCATTGACCCAGAGTGATGAATCATCCCAGACTTACCGCTCTGTGAACTTAGAAGTTACCTCTCCTAAAATGCTTCATAGTCCAAATAGCCAAGGTAATTCTTTTTCTTTTAATATTTATTTATTTATTTTGAAAGAGAGAGAGTGTGTGTGTGGGAGGAGCAGAGGAGAGGGAGAGAGAGAATCTCAAGCAGGCTCTGCACTGTCAGTGAGTGCAGAGATGGCACAGGGCTCAGTCCCACAACTGTGAGATCATAAGCTGAGCTGAAATCAACAGTCACACACTTAACAAAAACTGAGCCAGCCAGTGCCCCAAATAGCCAAGATAATGCTAATTTAAAATCTTATTTAAAAGTAGGGAATGGTAATAAATAAAAAATTTTACATGAAAAAAATTTTTTGTGATGTTTATTTTTCAGAAAGAGACAGAGTGCCAATGGGTGAGGAGCAGAGAGAGAAAGAGAGAAAGAATCTGAAACAGGCTCCAGGCTGTGAGCTGTCAGCACAGAGCCCGATGCAGGGCTCAAGCTCACAGACCCTGAGATAATGACTAACGGTCATGACCTGAGCTGAAATCAGATGCTTAAATGACTGAGGCACTCAGGCACCCTTAAAATTTTACATTTCTATGTAGAAAATAATATTATGTATTTAATCTTAATAAAACTATTGGTTTTGACTCTGTTGCTTAAAATTTCTATAAACATAGATAAGTTATTTAGTGTTTTTTTTATTTTGGCTTCTTCAGCTATAAGATGAAGATTAACCAACTAGACACATATTACAATTTTATCCTAAAATATCACTAGGAAAATACTCTGAAGAATAAAAAAAAAGATTTGGAATTCTTCTAAACTAGATGATTAGAATAATAGTTAATTGAGTAAAGTTGGGTCTTATTCAAGGATTAAATCAGAAATTGCCTATTTCCAAAATTATCCTTGAAAATTTTGGGGGGAGTCAGTACATTGTAAGTACATTGTAAGTATTGTAACTTTTAAAATATAAACTTAGGAGAATCTCAGAATTGAATTAGGAAAACATTTATGACTTTAGGCATACTTAGAAAACTGTATAACTCTGAACCTACCTGAATCATGATGATATTAATATAGCTGAATAAAAATCACAGTAATACATGTGTACCGCTTAAAATCTTTCAAGCCTGACATGAATCAAACCACTAGGTTACAGTTTTTTTTCTGGTGGAAGAAACTGTGTTCTGACTCCTTTGTTCCGATTATCAATACTATAATCTTAGACAAAAATATAATGTGTTTGTGGTTTAACTAAAACTGAACATACCAAGGGCTGAGAAAAACCTTTAACATTAAATCTGAATTTTTCCATGTTAATTAATAGGCACTACATTTTTTTTTTTTTTTTTACAAATAGTTTATTGTCAAATTAGTTTCTACATAACACTCAGTGCTCATCCCCAAAGTGCCCTCCTTCATGCCCATCCCCCCC